GTAGTAACCTTTATTTGTTCGTTGTTTTGTCTTAGGGCAAATTATTCCGAGTGTTTGTATGCGCAGACTATACACACACGGGGGATGGCGCGGCGAGGACTGCGCGGACTTCCCGGACAAACCCGCACCACCTCGCTCCTTTGACATTGCCAAACGATGACCCTGCGTTCTCCTGGTTTTCTCCGACCTTGCTGCAGCCCATGGGCCTCGCCGCCTGGATCTTCATCGCCTGTTTTGATCTGGACGGACTAGTCGCATTCTGTCCCCTGCCCCTACATGCCTCCAGCATCCTCGTCAACTCGCCGCACTTATTACGCATGGCTCCGGCGTGTGAGGGCATCAACTTCTCCTGTAGCACCTAAGGCATCCTTAACTCCACCCACTGCACTTCAACTCAAGCGCTGTTCATTCAAACCTGCTCCCCGCAGCGACCCACGTCCGCCTCCATCGTGTCAGCCTCTCCTCGGCCCGTGCCGCGGTTGGTGTTGCAGTCTTTACACACGACTGCAGGCGTGGCTGCTTCACGTGATTGGTGAGGTCGCGGTGTCAAGTTCCTGTGGGAGTATTAGTGGTACCAAGATAAAGAAGTCATAAAATAAGGTCTCTATTAAGTACCTGAGAGACTGTGGGGGTCCCAAAAGGATTATCACTGCCAGTTTAATGACAATGCCACCAAGTAGTTTAGAGTCATTATAAGTTCGCTAGAAGACCACAGAGATTCAAACATAAATAAGTGGAAGTAACGAATTTGTAACTAAAAAAGTTGTATTGCATATATCTACATATCTATGGAAGCCCATTTCCGCCAATGTGATAGAAAAAAGATTACGTAAGTCATTCATGAGAAATGTTGACTTAGTATCTAGTATACTAAGTCATTATTTTAAAATACTAAGTCAAACTATTGAGAAAGTTTCTCATTATAATGACTTACAGAATCTTTTTTTCCTGTCACACTGGCCAAAAAGGGCTTCCATACCATACAGATGGTTTTTGGAGTATTTTTAGTGTAGCCTAGACCTACTTAACCCATTCTTATCCATTTAATATCCTAGTTTTTTGTTTTCCATGAACACCCTTCTAGAGCATTAGTTTAGAAATTTCACATCTCATAATTTTCTGACACACACATATTCTGCCTCTATAGATTCAGAAAGAAAAATTATAGCGTTGCTTTTCTTGTCAAGTACTCCATTGTGTAGACAGACATTTTATAATGTATTCCTATACACAGCCCAGCACAGACAAACCAAACACTGGCTTCATCACGTTTATTGCATGTTGAATGAATGTTGTTGGAAAAACTGGGCTTTTATTTACCCAAAAAATGCAAAAACAATATAAACCAAGAATTTATTAACAAAGTCTATAAGATGACAACAAAATATAACTGTACTCAAACAACAACTAGACACAGTGTCAACTAAACAAACTGACGTAACAGTTCTTCTCCTAGTTTAATGGCAGATGGCAAACAACCTTTAGGTGCATACCACCACCTACTGTACAAGAGTGTGTACCATTATGTCATTTATCTAGCTCTTTAAATTTGACCTGCTTTTAAAAAATTAAAAAATAACTTGTGACTTTTTAGCAACTCTCATTTCCCCTCTCTCTCCAAACTAACCCAATGCCACAAGAGGGAACATATATATAGTGGTTTGGCCAAACCAAATAACACACATGGGGTAAACGAAATGGACGCCATCTACAACTAAACACAAATCCGCCCCATGACATATCAGTCAGTGGTTTGGTCCAATGAGCTGGGCTCCAGATTTAAGAGTCCTGCACCCTCAGCCACACTTTTTGCTTCAGCAGGGGCCCGTTTCAGAAAGCAGGTTTAGTGAAAACTCTGAGTTTTCGGTTTCACAAAGCCAGTTCAGCTTAACTCCGAGTCACGTTTACCCTGGCAACATACTCCATGAAACCTAACCTGCTCGCTGGCAGGTTTTCTTCAACTAACCCTGAGTTTCTCCTGCTCTTAAGTTGAAGCCTGCAGACTGAAGGCAGTGGCAGACATGGCGTGTCCTTTTCTTGAAGAGCCAGTTGATGTCGAGGCGCATACTCCGCAGAAATCTCCGATCGGGGAGAGGATTATTAGACCCCGATTGGACAGAGGGTACCCCTGCCATCTGCTGACCCTTAACCCTGACCCTGAGCCTGGCACCAGACAGCAATACTACAACTTCACTGCAGGACACGAGCCAGAGTGGAGATGACCATCGGGATACTCAAGGCTCGGTTCCAGTGCCTTCGTAGGCTCAGGGTCACCCCAGAAAGGGCTTGTGACATTATAGTGGCATGTGTGGTTCTCCACAACATTGCCACTATTAGAGGAGAACAATGTCCTACTCTTTCCCCCAATGATCCAGATAATAATCCTGACCCCCCTGCTGATGCACGAGATGGAAGAGCTGTTAGAGACATGATATGCTTCAATCATTTCTAACTGACCCATCACCTCCGACAATATGCCTCTCATTTTATGAGGTCTTCTTTATTTCCTAGAAGGACAAATGTTGTACAGTTGTTAATCCTTTGTTNNGGGCACGTCACCCACCTTTAACTGATGGTCCAGCAGTTGTATTTCCATTTTTGTCTTGGTGATCTGCAGCCTTATATGTTCCATTTCCAGATGTGATTTGTGATTGTAAATATACCTTGTAGAGTTGTTTCACAGGAACATAAATGACATTGAATTTCACAGTGCCATGTCTACTTAGTGTCATTGTAAGTTGTGGGTCAATGCTGAACAACATCTTAAAATAGATTGATATCTGAAAGCAACAGCAGATGGTGGCATAATGCATCATGGGAGGCTACAAAGCCACGGTGGATCTCTGAGCCAAATTCTAATGTCAGCATGCTAACATGCTCAGTGGCCATTAAGGTTAAGAAGGTATGATTATCGTCGTTTTCATCTTAGCTTAGCATGTTTGCATGCTAATATTAGCTAATTAACACAAAGAGCTGAGGCTGATTAGTAATGGTATTTGGTCATACAGCAATGGTCCTGGACGCAGAGTGCCAAAAGTTCAATCTGTCATTTCAGAACCACTTATGTCAACCTCATGGTGGTGCTAGAGGAGAAGCCTGTGGATGTCTGTGTACAACAATTACAAAGGCCTTTGAGGCCCAAAGGCGTCACAGTAAATGAGTGAAACGATGTGAAGGCCAGGCACTCTTCTTAGTTGCTACAAACCCAGCTGAAAAGCAAATAACAAGTAATGTATATGTTGAAAAGTTTGCTAAATTTAGGGAGAAACATCAAGTTAATTTCTGATTAAGCACTAATCCTAGTGTCATTGTTTAAAATGCATACATACTGTTTCCACTATAAACCCATCTCCGTCTGTCCTCCAAGGTTTTTTGCTATGATATAATGCTGCCCTCTAGTGATCAATGATTGTATGACTGTTGCCAGTATCCATGTGAGTACATTCACACATTAATTTAACAGGGTGTCATTTTTTGAACACTGTTTTTATTTAAGAACACTTGAGTGGGTTCCAACAGTAAAAATAATGATCAAAAATAAATGCCCACATCTTTCCAAGTGAAATTGCACCATATACCCTTTACATATTATGAATACATACAATACAAAATGAGACATATACAATAACTGTCCTGGTAAAGTAAAATAAAATGTAACTAAGGATATTGTATTATAAGGCAGGGTTATCGTCCTACCACGTACTGTAATTATTTCATCATTTCCCATCGGATATTTTCACACATTTGTTTTACCATCTACTTTGCAGTAGTCAATAAAATAAATATTTTGTAGAAGTTTATCGCTGACAGTGGGAATAGAAGTTTTACGACATAATCTCAAGGTCCACCCGTTTTCACAACCTCGTCTCACGGCCTTCATCACTGTATGGATCGAACATCTAACATTTCACAGAACAAGTGAGTTGAAAAGGCTCAGAAAATAAGTAGTAAATGGACCTTGAGTAAAGGTTTTTTTGTCATTTTGTACTTTTTGAAATGAGAAGACAGCATTTTATAGATCAGTGGTTCACTGTTTTTGACAAAGTTGGAGATACAGGCCTCTGATTTCTGTTCAAAGTGGTGTCTAAATATTACTAAATACAAACATTATTGCTGGCATAATGTCTTAGTCTCTCTGTTTTCTATTGTCCTCTACAGGCCACCATACAAAGTAAAGCTGCCCTTAAGTAAAATGCATTTGTATTGCAATCCATATCAGACGCACCAAAAAAAGACTTTCGTGACATTTTCATGTGTTTTGTATTTGTTTCTCTGAGCTCCACGTTGTTGTTGACCTTTGCAGTATGTGTATGAATTATAACAAACACTGCACATCACAGCATCCTACATGGCTGTCTTACTGGGGTTGTCAGGGTCGAAGGTCATGATCTCCATGTGGATGAGACCTGAGAGGATAAAAACAGTGGCTCAGAGTCAATCCTGACACTTTCACACCAACCACTGATTACTTTTGACATACTGGACGATTTGAGATTTAAGATAATCTATTTGTATATGTGCATTGTAAGACTCACAACCCACAGCCATACTTACTCTTCCACTCGCCAACGGCAAGCTCCAGGCTCTCGAATGAGTCATCGTAGGGCTCGGAGTCTGGCTCGCTCTCTGTGTCGTGATATTCAGCCAGGAAAGGGTGCGACAGTCCCTGCTTAGCCGTTAGCCTTGTCTCTGGGTCCAGCAGTAACATCCCCTCCAGAAGGTCTACAGCTGCAAGCATCAACACAGAAAATCCATTTTCAATTTTTTTCTCAACTTGCACGGAGGGTTCTGGCTTTCTCACTCAAAACCTCCAGTTATATCTCTGTGGAGGATCACTAGATTTGCTATAGATTTATAGCAGTGCAAAATGACGAGGTGGGCACACGTTTCATATACGAAGAGATGAGGTAAACTTTTTCCATTAAAACATATGTAAAGAATTTCAGTGTGAAGTGAACAAGTAGAGGCGGTTCAGCGCACCATTTTCATCCATGGACGGAAACACTTCCTTGAAGTTTTTCTTCTTTTGTGGTGGAAGGCCTTGCACATATGATTGCGCCTGGAAAACAGTTATGGGTGGTTACATTTCATTCCAAAGCATGAGTTGAAATACAGAAAAAAACGTGGCAAAATTAGAATGTGTAATGTTAAATTGGAAATACACAATGCATTTGAGTTAAAGGTTATATGGGATTTATAACATACCTAGCATGGCTGTGTGCCACGAAAAAATTATTTGCTATGTAAAGATAAAGTGGAAGAATGGTGTCCTGAGCAGAGGATGGTGTCACGCTCCCTCTGCGTGTGTTGCTATCGCAGCCTCTCTGTGGTTTGTTTACATAGCTGTCTGCTCTGTGTGCAG